CATCTCCCGGAGTTTGCTCAGATTCATGTCCAGTGATAGTCAGTGCCATCCAACCGTCTCGTCCTCTATCATCCCTCTCTCCTCCTGCCCTCAATCTCTCCCAGCACCAGGACCTTTTCCAGTGAGTCAGCTCTTCGCATCAAGTGGCCAAAGTATTGGAGCTTCAGCTTCAGCACCAGTCCTTCCTTCCAGTGAGTATTCAGGGTTGATTTCCTTTAGGACGGACTGGAACACGTAACTGATGACATAGGTGGCAGTGCAGAGACATGGTTTTCAATCAGTGGTGCTAAGAAAGTTAGGTATTCACGTGGGAATAAAAGAAATGGAACCCCTGCCTCACATTACACACAAAAGTCAGCTCTAGATAGATTTAAGAATTAAATGTAAAAGGCAAAGCTACAGAGTTTGAAAAAGACATTTGGGAGACCATCTGCATGACTTTGGGACAGGGAATGATTTCATAACAAGTTATTGAACAGAGACATATTAGTACATTTTTAGAGAGTGTTACAATTAACATCCGGCTTGCCTGGTGACTCAGCGGTAAAGAATCTGCCTGCCAATATGCAGGAGACCTGGCTTCAATCCCTGGGTCAGGAAGATCCCCTGGAGAAGGAAATGGCAACCAACTTCAGTATTCTTGCCTGAAGAATTCCATGGACAGAGGAGCCTGGTGGGCTACAGTTCATGGGGTCAAAAGGGGTTGGACACAACCGAGCAACCGAACACACACACACTTCACCACCATGCAAAGTTGTTAGAGCTTAAAATTGATCAAGGATTCAGAATACAGCTTATGATTATCGCTATCATTCACATTTTGCTTCATTAGGTTTTTGTTCCAACCTTGCATATGTTACAAATGTAAATTTTTCAAAAATGACGCATTGAAAAATTTTGAACGAGGGAGAATTTTTAGGTGAAATTTATGCAGATACTTTTTTCCTGATTGTCCAAGCAAAATATATACTAAGATGACAGTTACTCTGAATATGGTTCTGATTCAGATGTGAATATTAGATCAACAGAAAGACAAAAACCTTAGTGACTGATTCTGATATGAAAAGTGAAAATGAAACTCACGGTACTGGAGAATGCTCCACTGCTTTTACAGAAGAGTGGATTGAAGACAACATCTCAGTAAAATTAGAAGACTTTATGGGTGTGTCAGGTGTAACTACTGAATGTAATAACCCCCAAAGTGTTAGTGAAATAACAGAATTAATTTGGGGCCAGCCAAAATAAAATCCACCAGCCACATGTGTTAGTTTCTGCAAAAATGCCCTCATCACTAATGAGTTATCTCATTAAAAGCATTTATCATAAATAAAAACAGCGATAAATTAAAATGAAGAAGTTGTTCATCAAAGGACGATTGCAAAGAGAAAATGGAGGTGAGAAGGCCAGTCTCAGAGCAGTGGAAGATACCTGGACCAAATATAGCCAAGAAAAACCAGTTTTCAAAATATTTAAAGAACTTCAAACTGATAAGGAAAAACAGACAGCCCAATAGGGAAAAAAAAAAAAGGGCAAAAGACTGAAACCAGCCCGTCACAAAAAGGTGAATCCAGAGGACCATAAACGTGTGAGAAAGGTGTTCCACCTCACCGGGAGTTACCTGAGTGCCCGCTAGAATCCTGAGACATCTGTTTACCTTCCAGCCTGGCATAGACCTTGAAGTCTGATGGAAGCGAGTGGTGGCAATGACCCCGAGCCACGAGGGCTCTGAGACCGCACAGCTGCCAGCGCAGGCGGGCACCGCGACTTGGGAAGGCTGTGTGCCGTGATCTGGAAAACGTGCCCTTTGCACATTCGGTGACTCACAAATCTACTTCTGGATGTGCAACCTCGAGAAGCGGTTCTCAGACTCGAGCAGACATCAGACTCCCCCGGAGGGCGCCAGGGCCCCACCTCCAGAATCTGAGTCAGTGGGTGTGGGATGGGACCCCAGAGTCTGCATCCCTAACAGCCTCCCTCCCAGGAAGCGCTAAGACTGCTGCTGTGGGGGCCACACTTTGAGAACTGCCTGGAGAGAAGTGCGCTCGTGCCCCAGGAAACACGAGCAGGAACTGTCCTCAGAGTTGCGCTCAGACTGTCCCATCGGCAGCTGTGTGCGTCAGGTGTAAGTGAGTGAAAGTCGCTCAGTCGTGTTCGGCTCTTTGCGACCCCATGGACTATACAGTCCATGGAATTCTCCAGGCCAGAATACTGGAGTGGGTAGCCTTTCCCTCCTCCAGGGGATGTTCCCAACCCAGGGATTGAGCCCAGGTCTCCTGCATTGCAGGAGAATTCTTTACCAGCTGAGCCACAAGGGAAGCCCAAGAATACTGGAGCGGGCAGCCTATTCCTTGTCCAGCAGATCTTCTCAACCCAAGGATCGAACTGGTGTCTCCTGCATTGCAGGCAGATTCTTTACCAACTGAGCTATCAGGGAATCCCAAAAGTGTGGAACATTCATATAATAAAGTCCCGTAAGTCATTGGCAATGAATGAACTACCCCCACCTGCAAATTATGGAAGTCCAGTTTGACTGTAAAAAGCCAGACACGACAGGTCTTGCACAGTGTTTGCTCAGTCGCTCCGTCGTGTCCGACTCTTTGTGACCCCACAGACTGTAGCCCTCAGGCTCCTCTGTCCATGAGATTTCCCAGGTGAGAATACTGGAGTGGGTTGCCATTTCCTCCTCCAGGGGATCTTCTGGACCCAGAGATCGAACCTGCGTCTCTTCACGTCTCCTGCACTGGCAGGCGGGCTCGTTACCATGGAGCCACCTGGGAAGCCCGTGTGCAGCACAGTTCAAATCATAAAATGTTAAAAAGTAAAGAAAAAAAATCAAGTCACGTTATTCAGGGTTGCATGGGTATGTGATAAAACTGTATGGAAAAGCAGGAAAACTACATAGAAGTCGGTGCCATGGTTTTCTCCGGGAGAAAGAGAAAGTGATGTGACCAGGGCAAGAGTGCCAGTCACTCAGTCATCATCCCGGACCCGGCCTTGTGGACCTGGGCCTGGAACCTGCGCTCCCCGCTTCTGCGCTCCCCAGCCCACTGCCTCCCCGGCAGGACCCTCCAGTAGGTGGCGCTAGACCAAGGCTGGAAGAGGAAGGGAAGCAGGGGCCCCTCTGCACCCCCACTTTGGGTCTACACCTGCTCCTTAGTCCCATAGACTCTGTTGTAGCAGCGCCTCCCTGCCACCGCATCCTCGGTTCATTCGGGCAGCAGCAGCTTCTTGTCTGCCGCTCTTCTGACGCCCACAGAGACAACTCATACGGCCCCTGGGGACCCCCGGCCCAGCCAGCCCCCTTGCATTTCCATAATCCCAGTCCCTTGCCCCCAGCACCACTGCCAAATGATCCGTCTCGTTCAGTCACGCCCTCCAAGAGCCGGGGCTCCCTCCGAACCCACTCAGGTACACCTAAAAAACCGCTTTGTGCCTAGTTCTTGGTCCTTCCCATCACGTTCTTTCTGTTAATGTAACTCGGCGGCTGTTGTCTTCACTCATCCTCCCCTCCAGGATGGAGGCTGCATGCTGTGCAGTGAGGGGGCCACAGGCAGATGGGAGCTGCATCTCCCCTTTCTCCGAGCCGTCTGCGGGGATGGCCAGCCGTCCAGTTTGTGCAGGGCTGAGGAGTCAGTCACCCGGGACGCAGGGTGTTCGGGGCTGAGATTGAGAAAGTGTCGGTAGTGAGTTGGTTATCCTGTGACTTCATCCAACACGTTAACCCTCGTTATGTCTTACGGCTGCACTTGGCTCCAAGAAAGGATGGGAAATGTGGGTTTAGCTGGGCTCGTCAGTACCACCCAGGAAAAAGCAGAGCTGTGCTACTTAGGGAGAAGGGCAGAATGGACTGACGGGAGGCCGCTGGTGGTTCTGCCCTTGTAACTCCAGGCTGAGCGCCACGCCCCTGAGGGCACTGCTTGAGACAGCTGTCGCCAGAGTGGGGACCTGAAGCCGGGTCCTCTGGCCGTGGTCTCCCTTAGGACGCGATGCCCCTTCTGCTTCCTTTCTGGCAGCTTAGAAGGGAGGATCGTGCCCGTCCTTCCGGGCTACCTCAATCCTGAGTCCGAGGGGCAGCCGGCAGTACCTCTTCCCACCACGTCACACTCGGCAGTTTTACACAAGTTCTGTTTTCCTTTCTGCATTCACAGTCAAACACGGCTCTATCTGAACAGGAAGCAGGGTTTTCAGTTCTTCCTTTTGAGAGGGGTTTAGGAATCTCGGTCCTGTCTTTCTTTTCATCTTGTATTTACTTGGTGCTCTTCTCGGGCGTTAAATTATCATCGCATCCTGGTTTATTCTGTGTATCCTTCGGTGCCTGCATTTACTGGGCTTCCCTGATGGCTCAGTGGTAAAGAATCCGCCTGCCAGTGCAGGAGATGGGGGTCCAGTCCCTGGGTCGGGAAGATCCCCTGGAGAAAGAAAAGTGAAAGTCCCTCAGTAGTGTCTTGACTCTTTGAGACCCCCATGGACTATACAGCCCATGGACTTCTCCAGGCCAGAATACTGGAACGGGTAGCCTTTCCCTTCTCCAGGGGATCTTCCCCACCCAGGGATCGAACACCAGGTCTCCCACATTGCAGGCGGATTCTTTACCAGATTAGCCACGAGGGAAGACCACGCCTGGAGAAGGGAATGGTAACTCACTCCAGTACTCTCGCCTGGGAAATCCAGAGGAGCCCGGTGGGGTCACGGGGTCCCAAAGAGTCAGGCCCGACTGAACGCTGAGCGTGCACAAGGACACTCCTGCGTCTCTTGCTCTTAGCTGGGTAGGGAAACCCTTGCCAGGGAGGATTTTCAAAGCCAGTCAGTCACTGTGCTGACTCACCTGAATTTCAGCAGCCCGCTGCTTGTTGTTTATGACAACAATAAACATAAAAAGAGGGAGGCAATATCGTGTCTTGAAGATTTAATCTTTTGATTAACTGAAACTTCATAAGACTCTCAGCCCACGTGGTCTTCCCCTGGATGCAGGAGTCGGTTCAGCCGAGCAGGGGCGGGTGATGGTTCGGGCTCGGGTGGCCGGGGGCTGTGTGCCCTGCGCGATCCCCGTTGTTCGCCCCACGCCGTCGTCGAAGGCGGCGAGTCCGCATGGTCCCTCCAAGCGGGAGGCTGGTCCCCTCTGCTCTCCGGCAGCCCCGCATGTTCGGTGCAGCCGCGCTCCTTGGACACGGCCGCGAGCCGGGCTGGGCGCCAGGGCTTCTCAATCCCCTCGCCTTCTCTCCGATACAGGCTTCCCTCTGGATGTGGGGGAATTTTCCTTTTCTCCAGCCTCAAAGCAGGAATTAGGGGCTCCCTGCCGGCTCCGTGGTAAGGGTTCCGCCGGCCAATGCAAGCGTTCAGCCCCCGGTTGGGAAACTAGGATCCCCCCTACCCTGAGGAAACTAAGCCCACCAGCTGCAACCAGAGAGAAGCCCGCAGTGAAGATCCCACACGACAGAACTAGGGCCCGACACAGCCGAGCGAGTAAGTGAATATTAAAAAGTCGCCCCCGCCCAGCGCCCTTTGACACCACGGAGCCGTCCGAGACGTGCTGTGTGCAGTGGGGTGGCGGGGTGGGTGGCTGGCAGAAAGGTGCTGAGGTGGACCCTGACGTACAGATGACCCTTGGACGGAAAACAGGATCTGAAGGATGGGCGTTTAAGCCAGGTTTGCAATAAGCCAGGGTCAGAGCCAGGCCTCTCCCTGGCCGGGGAGGGCTCCCCGGGGGCCTCCGAGCTCAGCTGGGAGCGTGGCCTGCGGGGAGAGGGGGTCCAGGCGTGGGGAGTCGCCCTCCTCAGGAAGGTGCCACTGCCTCGTCCGCGGGTCCTTGTGCCCGCGACTCCCAGACACCAGCCCACTTGTCACTCGAGGGTAAGAGTGTGGGCACGGAAGAAGCTGCCCATGGGCTGCGTGGAAAGGTTGCTCGCCAACTTGACTTCAAAAGAGAAACAGACTCCCAGAGACGGGGAAAGCAGGGGACGGGGAGGGACGAGTGAGGACCCTGGGGTTAGCAGACACACTGCTGTCTATAAAACAGATAAAGAGCGAGGGTCAGCTACGCTCAGTAAGTACGATAGTCTCGTGAGGAGAAACAGTGGGTCCCTGGGCCACATGCCTGAGACTAACACTATGCCAGAATCCTAGGGGGTCTTCCCAACCCAGGGATCGAACCCAGGTCTCCCACATTGCAGGCAGATTCTTTACCATCTGAGCCCCAAGGGAAGCCCAAGAATACTGGAGTGGCTAGCCTGTCCCTTCCCCAGGGGATCCTCCGACCCAGGAACCAAACTGGGGTCTCTTGCATTGCAGGCGGATTCTTTAGCCACTGAGCCATCAGGGAAGCCCATTGTAAATCAACCCTATGTCAATTAAAAAACAAAGGATGACCTGACAGTAGGGTTTTTTGTTGTTTCTGTTTTGTTTGCATATTTTTGTTTTTTGGGGGGGAGTTTTGGTAGACACCTGAAAGGGCAACTGATGTTCTAAGCGCTTTGTTAGAAATTCTCTTCATTACAGTGTTTCTTTCTCTTCCCAGCTACACAACATTGAAATTGGATGATAAACACTCAAAGGAGGACCTGAATGTTGTTGTTGAAAGTTGCCTTTTTTGACCTAGAATTGAAAGTCTGACTTTCCATATTATCTCATCAGATCCCAAACAACCTTACTTACTACCTTTAAAAAAAGATATTTATGTATTTTTTTAATTTATCTGGCTGAGCTGGGCCGTAGTTGTGGCACACAGGATCTCCAATTTTCCTTCCACCTACTGCCTTTTTTTTTTTTTAATCACTGACGTTCCCCAAAAAAGACGGTTGTGTACCGTCCAGGTCACCAGTGGGGCTGCTGCCCCATGAATTCCTACCACGTCCCTGAAAAGGAAGAGGGGATGATGGTGGAGATTCTCTTTAGTCTCTGGCAGGAAAAGGCCAGTTTCCTGGGAGGAATCAGTTCATTTTTATCTTCTAAACAGTGACTCTTGTAACCAAACCTGTTTCCTTCTTTTCTGGGGCTGATAGGAAGCTCAGAATTAAAACCAGCATTTATCTTTACCGACTGCCTTAGACTTTAAGGTTTGTACTTTTGTGCACTGACTGTATCTGTGGCTTGATCTTGTTTTTTTCCATGACTGTTTCCCTGTTTTCCAGTTTTCCCACTTTTTTATTTTTTTAGTTCAGATGAATTTAGACTTCATGAGATACAGTCAGTAAAAGTGGGAAACAGACTCTGGGAAACTTTAATGAACAAATGACCCAGTTTTTAAAAATAAATCGCAAGGGGGAGAAAAGGGGGTGGGGGAAAACATAGACTAAAAGAGATGAAGAGAATCCTCACTCGTTGGGAACATCCAATTCGGCAGTCACTTGGGAAAACGGTCTGGTAATTTCTCTAAATATAGATGCAGTGTGTAACCCAGCAGTTCCATCCCTAGGAGAGAAACGAAAGCACGTGCCGACAAGTTGTGCATGAATGTTTATAACAGGCATTCATAAAACCCCACCTGGAAACAACCCATGTGTCTATCAGACAGTGGACTGATTATTTTTTACAGTGGTTTATTTATTCAGCGGGCTTCCCAGGGGCTCAGTGGTAAAGGATCCACCTGACAATGCAGGAGACGGAAGAGACTCGGGTTCAATCCCTGTGTTGGGAAGACCCCCTGCAGGAGGAAATGGCAACACACTTCAGTATTCTTGCCTGGAAAATCAGTCCCATGGACAGAGGAGCCTGGTGGGCTACAGTCCATGGGGTCTCAAAAGAGTCTGACACGACTTAGCAACTAAAACAGCAACGACAATAAATTACACCTTAGTTGAAGTAAATTATCCTTCCATAAGTTTACTTAAAAATGAAAGTAAAAACTAGGAGAGAACACTGGCTGGGAATCGTATGCTGTTAAGCCAGAATTAGGCTTCTTTTTGGGGTGACAGTGTTACTTCATTTCTTAATCTTTTGTCTATCCTTGTGTTGTTGTTTATTTTGTTTTCGTTTATTTATTTGCTACGCTAGGTCTTAGTTGTGGCCCTCAAGATCTTCGCCCTTCATTGCTGCATGCGGGGCCCTTTAATTGTGTTGGAACACTTAGTTACAGCATGTGGCCCCTAGCTCCCTGCCCAGGGCCCCCTGTGTTGGGAGCGTGCAGTCTTAGCCACTGGACCACCAGGGAAGTCCTTTAGTGATATTTTTGAAACCAACTCTTCATCTTTCGGGGATACACACTGAATTATAGGAAATGATATAATGCCTAAGACTGGCTTCAAAATAATAGAGGATTTGGGCAGCTTGTGGATGAAACAAGGCTGAGTTTACACAGATCCGGGCTGCAGCTGGGTTTGGGGTGCGTGGAGGTTTGTATTATTATTCTATCCTCTTTTGTCTGTGTGTTCAACATTCCGATAATTGAAAGTTTTAAAAGAGGGGCCTAAGAGTCCTCGAGAACAGGCCGAGTCAGCCGAGTCCCTGACGACATCCACTTGGAATGAGGAGGTGGACCAGCTATTGTTTGTCTGCCCGGCGGCCCCGCCCCCGCCCTAACAGGAACCAGACTCGCTCCCTGGACGGGCCAGCCCCACGGGGTGGGCTGCGTGCCTGCCTTCCAGGCTCGGCCCCGCCTTGGGCCCAGGCCTGGGCACAGACCCTCCGCGAAGCCCTTCAGTGGCTTTCTCCTGGGGATTCCAGCCTCCTTCGGAATGATGCAAGAACCGGGAAAGGTTGGAGCCGGTTAATCCCAGCGTGGGCAGTCCTCGGAGACCAGCCTTGGGGTTTTTGCAGCTAACTCCCCAGGGCCCCTCTGCCTCCAGCCCTTTCTGAAACCCGGATCTCAGCTCTCTCTAGTTCTGTGATCAACCTAGCATCGTGCCAGTACATACCCTTTTTGTTGAAGTTGGCCAGAGTCGGTTTCCATGGCTGAAAACCAAAGCGCCCAGTGGAGGAAGCAGCAAGCTCACCAGATCATGGGTGTGCCCTTTTCAACCTCTCCATCCCCCTCAGCTGACCCTCTGAACTTGAAAACTCCCACACGGTGGTCTGATAAACAAAGAGGAGGGAATATACTTAATACAGAGACACCAGGTTGATAGCACACTCTGCTAACACAAACCCAGAAGTGAAGTGTGAAGTGAAACTCGCTCAGGCGTGTCCAACTCTTTGCGACCGCATGGACTAAACAGTCCATGGAATTCTCCAGGTCAGAATACTGGAGTGGATAGCCTTTCCCTTCTCCAGGGGATCTTCCCAACCCAGGGATCGAACCCAGGTCTCCTACATTGCGGGTGGATTCTTTACCAACTGGGCCACAAACCCAGAGCATTGTCATAATTAAGACAGAAACATCTATTGGGACAAAAAGGTTACATTGGTCTCTAACAGCCCCATCCCACAGGAATATGATACGAGCCACAAATGTGAATTTTAAAAATTAAAATTTTTACCTTTCCAGTAATTGCATTAAAATGGTAAAAAGAAATAAGTGAAATTAATTTGGGCAGTGCATTTCATTTAGCCCAATGTGTCCAACATATTACCATCTCAAACTATAACCAATATAAATATATGAAATACTAATAATACTATTTTGGTTCTTTTTTTTTTTTCTCTTTCTATAATCAATACAGTTTTATGTATGTGTGCTCAGTCACAAAGTCTGACGCTTTGCGACCCCATGAACTGTAGCCCCCCTGCCAGGCTCCTCTGCCCACGGGATTTCCCAGAAAAGAATACCGGAATGGGTGGCAATTTCCTTCTCAAGGGGATCTTCCTGACCCAGGAATTGAACCTGCATCTCCTGCTTGGCTGGCAGAATCCTTACCACGGGGCCACAAGAAAAGCCCTGATGTAGATATACAAGATACTAACACTATGCTTTAAAAAAACAAAACAAAACAGGCCTTTGAAATCGGGTGTGGTGTGTTTCACCCAGACAGCATGCGCGCTCTGGCTGAGTCACGCTGTCGGTGCTCAGAAGCTATAAGTTACAGAGGGGTTCTAAGTCTTCCATCGGGGGGTTCTGTGTATGTTCTGGGCCGAGCATCCTTAAAATGGCCGGCTCTACCCTTAGGATGGTACCAGAGGCTCGGCAGTCCCAGGCGGCTCTATCTGCCGTGGGGACATTGCACCAGGATGATACCATCGACTGGGCGCTCAGAGGGCCCAAAGATCTGATGTGACCTGTCCACCACGTACAGAGGGGGCTCGCAGGCCCAGCGGACGTCTCTGCAGAAGAGCAGGCCCCGAGCTCTTGAGCGAGTTGCATGAGCTTATGTTGGACTATGACACAGAGGACTGAAAAGTCAAAGCTACTGTTTTTCCAGCAGTCATATATATATGGATGTGAGAGTTGACTCATAAAAAAGGTTTAGCGTCGAAGAATTGATGCTTTCCAACTGTGGTGCTGGAGAAGACTCCTGAGAGTCCCTTGGCCAATCCTAAAGGAAATCAGTCCTGAATATTCCTTGGAAGGACTGATGCTGAAGCTGAAGCTCCAATACTTTGGCCACCTGATGCAAAGAACTGACTCATTGGAACAGACCCTGATGCTGGGAAAAATTGAAGGCAGGAGGAGAAGGGGACGACAGAGGATGAGATGGTTGGATGGCATCACTGACTCATTGAACATGAGTTTGAGCAAGCTCCAGGAGTTGGTGATGACAGGGAGGCCTGGTGTGCTGCAGTCCACGGGGTCGCAAAGAATCAGACGTGACTGAACAACTGAACAACATTAACAACAGCGTAACACGTTACTCCCAACCACGGAAGGAAAAAGCTAAACGAGCCGAAGCATGAAAACTCTTCTCAGATACATCAGAGAAGTGAGGCCACAGGCAAACCGCCACCCCAGGTTGGAGGGACAGACGGACGAAGGTGCAGAGTCACAGCGCACCAAAGCAGAGGCCAGAGAACAGGAAAGGTGGGGACCCAGGGCCGGGCGGGCAGGTCGCACGCTCCTGGGGGCCCCGACACGACCAGGAGTCTTACCACCCGAAGCTCTGCTGGGTTTGCACAGTAAAGACCCCGAGCTTCCTTTGTTCCCGGGAGAACAGGCATCGTGTTCTTCCTGTTCTCTGCAAGGCCTGCTGGCTGAGCAGGTTCTGGGGGCTTCTGCGGAGCTGGCCCTTGGGCTAACAGCCTTGCTTTCCCCACTTCCAAGTCTTTTCTTACAAAACACCCTGCATATCTTGAGGTCACAGGTGTGACTCTCTCAGTGTCCCCCCACAGCCGCCCTCAGCCCATTTCACAGCAGAGGAAACTGAGGTCCAGAGGCCAAATAACTGGTCTGGGGCACAGAACTAGCTGACGGCGGGGCTGGCTCCTCCTTCCCCTGGCACTGGCATGCTGCTTTGTCTTAATTTTTTTTTTAATATTTATCTATTTTCACAATAAAGACATTATAAAAATCAAGAAATTTAAAATTAAATAAAAATTTAATTTTAATTAAAATTAAGAAATTTTTCTCAAAAATTAATAAATTTAAAACAAATCTTAAGTTTATTTGTCTATTTTGGGGCGGGCTTCCCTTGTGGCTCAGCTGGTAAAAAAATCTGCCTGCAATATGGGTTTGATCCCTGGGTTGGGAAGATCCCCTGGAGAAGGGAACGGCTACGCATTCCAGTATTCTGGCCTGGAGAATTCGATGGGCTGTTTAGTCCATGCAGTTGCAAAGAGTCAGACACAACTGAGCGACTTTCACTTTCACTCTATTTTTATTTGGCTGCACCAAGTCTTAGTTGCAGCAGCATGCAGGGTCTTTAATTGCGGCATGTGGGATCTAGTTCCCTGACCAGGAATGGAACCCGGGCCCCCTGCATTGGGAGCTCGGAGTCTTAGCCACTGGACCACCAGGGAAGTCCCATGCCACTATGTCTCAACGTGGCAAATCCCTTGGGCTCCAGTGAGCTTCCAGAAAACACAGCCCCACTCCGTCTCATGAGGGACCCTAAGCTGAAAGCACCCCACTGGGTCACCCCTAAATTCCTGCCCCACGGACACAGTGAGATAGTACACGTTGATGGTTTCGCTGTTACGTTTTGGAGCCTGTCGAGATTACACAGCAATGGATGAGTTTTTTTTTCCCCGAGTGCCCACATCCATGTGCTCTGTCGAGAGTAGTTTTCACCCCAGCTTTGTTTGAACAGCTTTTCTCCGGGGTCGAAGTCGGACCTATCTTTTCCTGAATTGGCATTCCAGAAACGTGGACGGACAGGTTCTAAACTATAGGGTGGCCAGAGGAGGCTGTAAAAGAACATCAAGCCAGGCTTCTGTAAGTGAGCTGAGGACGCAGAGGCCCCCTCTCTGGTTTGGGGGCCTCAGTTGGGTGGAGAAACGTTTCGTGGAGGATTATGCTGCCTGCCTCTGTCCTCAGGAGTGATACAGAGATGCCATCCCTCTGGGTGGTGGTCAGAGGCCCATCGCCCTGGGATGTTCACCAGCACCCCAGGGGCGCGGTGAACAGACAGGAAGCAGCACGGGGGTGTGGGGAGGGTCCGAGAAGGAAGTGACACTGAGCAGACAGGAAGAGGAAGGGGTGCGGAGAGCACAGCGCGTGGCCTGGCTCCCCGGTCATTCCGCAGATCACGCAGCGAGCCCCAGGCCCCAGAGGCTGCGAGTGCGGGCTGGACGCTGTCAGACTCCGAGGCGTCTAAGCCCCACTCGCCCGCCTGGAGACTCAGCCAGGACTGGGGGGGACCCAGCTTCTGATGGGGCCTCCCTGCCGCGGCCTTGCCCTTAGCCACCCCCGCCCCACCTCAGAGCAGCAGTCCTTGAGTCCCTTTAGCAAGAAGGTGGGCCCATCAGTGCTCCCCGGGGCGGGGGGGTCTCATCCAGCTGCTGTGTGCCAGCCGCACGTTGCCGTGACTGCCTGACTCCAGAGGATGAAGGGAGGACAGGGCAGAGTCAGTCCAGCGCCAGCCCCACCCCCAGAGCAGCACGGTCCAGGACTCACTTTGTGCGTCTGCACGGATCACACAGAAGCCGTCAGCCACGTGGATCTACAGAGCCAGCGCTTAAATGTGGCTCACACCGCCTGTCACAGCGAAGGGTTTCATTCCATTTCATCCTCATTAGAGGATAAATGTAGACGGCCAGATGTGAGTGGCGGCTTCTGAATTGGACAGCATTGCCCTTAAACAGACCCTTGTTTTGGGTCTATAATGATACAGTCTCTTTAGATATGTGTGTGTGTGTGTGTGTGTGTGTGTGTGTGTGTGTATTTTTAAATATTTTTTTTAATTTGGCATCAGGTCTTAGTTGAGTTACTCAGGATCTTTCCTTGCAATGTGAGGATCCTCTAGTTGTAGTGAGCAGGTTTAGCTGCCCCATAGCATGTGGGATCTTCATTCCCTGGCTAGGGACTGAACGTATGTCCCCTGCATTGTAAGGCAAGATTCTTTACCACTAGACTAGCTCAGCTGGTGAAGAATCTGCCTGCAATGCAGGAGGCCCCTTTTCCATTGCTGGGTTAGGAAGATCCCCCGGAGAAGGGACAGGCTACCCACTCCAGTATTCTTGGGCTTCCCTTGTGGCTCAGCTGGTAAAGAATCCACCTGCAATGTGGGAGACCTGGATTCGACCCCTGGGTTGCGAAGATCCCCTGGAGGAGGGAAAGGCCCCACTCCAGTATTCTGGCCTGGAGAAGTCCATGGACTGCATGGTCCATGGAGCCACAAAGAGTCAAACGCGACTGAGCAACTGTCACTCCCTAGAGCACCAGGGAAGTCCCTGGATACATATTTTTTCATTATTTATTTATTTGGCCATGCCGGCTCTTGGTTGCACACGCAAGATCTTGGTTGTGTCACTTGACCAAGGATCAAACCCGAGTCCCCCGCAGTGTAAGGCAGATTCTTAACCACTGGAGCACCAGGGACGTCCAGATGTTTCCGTTTTTTAGTTAAGGTAGACGTACACATAGCGTAAAATTCACTCTATATTTTTGTGCACGTTCTGCTTTTGACAAACACATGGAGCCACATAATCGCCACCACCATCAGCACCGCGCCCCCGCTCCAGGATTCCCACATGTCATTTTGTGGCCGGCCTCTCCCCAGACCTCCACCGCTGGAACCACTCACCTGTTTCTGCCTCTACCGTTTCGCTCTTTCTCCCAGAACGTCCTCCAGATGAAAGCACATGCGCCGCACGCGGGGCCCTCCGAGTTGGCCTGGTACGCGAACCCCGCTCCTTTCTTAGCTCTGCATCTGTCGCGTTCCATCGGACGTTTGTTACCCCTTCCCGAGCCGGGGTGCATTTGGGTTGTTGGGTTGCTGAGGTTTGGGTTATCAGGAATAAAGCCACTGTAGACCACCAGGAGCAAGTTTTGTGCCCACCCAAGTTTTCATTTCACTTGGATACATACCTAGTCATGGGGTTGCCGGCCATTTGGTAAATCAGCTGAACTAGATAAGAAAGTGCCAGACTCTTCCACAGTGGCAGTACCATCTTGATCTCCAAGCCCTGTGGGAGAATTCTAGAAGGTCTCATCAGTTTTGACATATAATAGATGGACTTAAAACGGATCCCCTAACAATGAATGATGCCGAGCATCGTTTCCTGGGCTTGTGTCACATGTGCACCTTTAGTGGAAGATCTGCTCGCGTGCTTTTAGATTCATGCTCTGTTTGTTTATTATGTTTGGCTGCACTGTCTTCAGTGTTGCGTGCAGGCTTGCTCTAGTGGCAGCAAGCGGGGACTACGCTCTTGGTGCAGTTCACGGGCTCCTCACTGCGGTGGCTTCTCTCGTGGCTCCTGGGCTCACAGCATGTGGGATCTTCCCAGACCAGGGACTGAACTCGTGTCCCCGGGGTTGGTAGGCGGATTCTTAAGCGTTGGACCAGCAGGGAAGTCTGTGGTTTTCATCTTAATGGATTGTTTCTCCAGATACACCGCTGCCTCTTTCTAACTGGGCCTTCGTCATCACCCCCCAACACGGTGTATTTTTCTTGTCGATAGTTTCGTGTCTTGACATTAATTCTGTCCTGTTTTGTTCCTGCGACCAGGTCCAGGGCCTTGCACCCAAGGCTTGCACCAAGAGCCTGGGTGTTGTGGGCTCCGTGGTTGTCCAAGTTCTCCCTTGCAAGCCTTTTCTTTTTCCTTTTTCGAGTGAAGGAGTCATGAAGCAACTTTCACAGGCCCCGTAGACCCAGAGGGAGTGTGAGAAGAGTTCACTTTCTCCAATCCTGGATCTTTAATGCCTTTTATTGCCCCTGTTCTGGCCCTCTCTATGTCAAAGCTGTCGGTGTATCTGAAGGCTCCCCACTTAAGGAGAAAAGAATTGCAAGGTTAAATGGGAGTCTGGGTTGCAAGGTCATTGTGAGTCAGCCCTGTGCGCTCCTGCCATTATCACAGACAGGCTGCTGCTCTTCAGGAAAAGAATTGTCTAGGTCTGTCCGCCTGCGCAGAGGTCTTCACATTTGATGTTATTAGGCCTGAGGGGCCTGAAAGCACATGTCCCTCATGTATCACAGACTTGTCCTAAAGAAGTGGGAAGTCACTCCAGATGAGCTAGAGGAAAGGACTTCGGAGGTTGTATATAGAACTTTTTCTTAAAAAAGAAAAGTGGTAAAATACATAAAATTTACCATCTTAACAATTTTTTAAAATATTTTAATTTATTTGACTGTGCCAGGTCTTAGTTGTGGCAAGAAGGATTTTTGTGGCAGCCCATGAGATCTAGTTCCCTGACCAGAGGTCAAACCCAGCACCACCCCCCACCCCGAATTAGCCACTGGACCACCAGGGAAGTCCCTTAACTATTTTAGGTGTAGTTTGGTAAAGTCCATTCACAGCGTTGTGCAGCCATCACCTCCAGAGCTTTTTCATCTTGCAGAACTGAAGCTCTGTCCCCACTGAACACTAAACTCCCCATTCATTCCCTGTCTCCCCGGCGAAGTACCAGCCCTTCCACTTTCTGTCTCTGTGAACTTGACTCCGCCAGGGACCTCAGAGAATCAGACTCAGACAGGATTTGTGTTTTTGTGACCATGTGATTTCACTTAGTGTCTTTGTCCCCAGGGTTTATCGATGTTGTCACATGTGTCCAAATTTCCTTTTGTCTTTAAGGCTGAATAATGTCCCGTTGGACATGTCGGTGGGCCTCTGGCTTCCTAGGACACTCTGAATAATGCTGCTGTGAACATGAACATGAGGGTATGAATCCCATCTCAGGACCCCGCTTTCAGTTCTCGTGGGCACAGACCCAAAAGTGGAACTGCTGAATCAGACGAGCATGTGTTTTCCGCCCCACTGTTTCCCAGAGGGGCTGCACCGTTTTCCATTCCCACCGCCAGCGTGTCTGTAAACGTCTCTGTCTGAGATAAACACTCTCGACCCCCTGAGTGAGTCTCCACCTCCCTGATGCAGCCTCTTGCCTGGTCTCCTAGTTTCCTAACCGGTCTCCCACAGTCACGCTGGCCCCTCCACGACTCAGGCTTCATACGACAGCCAGTGATCCTGTTTCGAATTTGTGGTCCACATGTTGCCCTTCTGCTCACCACATCTCAGTGGTTCCCACTGCCCTGGGATCAGACCCAAGTTACATGACTGGTCTGGTTCGGCTGACCTGGTCTCTTCCCTTCTCCAGCCGCCTGTCAGTCCCTCGAAAGCACCTTGCCCCCTTCACGCTGTTTCTTGGTTGGAATGCCATCCCCACCTCTCACCCACCCACCCACCCCGTCTGTTCCTGTGTTTTCAATCACCTGATGGTTGGGTTCATACCCACTGCAGCCCCAGACTGGACAGTGGGCAAGCAGATAAGCTTCCCATCCTGGGGAGCGGGGAGGGGAAGGGGCTCGGCCCATCTCCCTACACATGTCACCTTGCAACAAGGCCTCAGGCTTGAGACAGCTGTAGTTTTGTATATGTTAGAATGTTACTTGATTTCTGTCTGCATGTCCCACTACACTGTAAGCTCTACCAGGGAGGGCCTGTTTTCAACCCCCCCCCTCCCCCAATAATTATTAAATGATGACAGTGCGCAAACACTGCCGCCTCTTTTTTAGAGGGCCCTGGCTGATTCAGGAACCGGCATGAAGCACTTCTGAAGGATGCCTGAAGTAGCCAGATCTGCCTTTTCACAGAAGATCCCCCCTGCAAGCATCTCTCTCCCTCCCCCGAGCCCCCATTAGACTGTAAAGGATGTAAGGGCCTAGGCGCCTAGCCTGCTGTTCGGGGTCACTCGTGTAGCTCCTTGTTGAGTGACTGGACTCCGAATTGGACCTCGGGGCATCAGGGGTGGCTTGCAACTTCAGGCAAACTCCAGTTACCGCGCGAGACCCCGCAGTCTTGGTGCTTAAGTACGATCGCACTTTGGGGTGTCGGGTGGAGCCTCTAGAGCCCAGAAGGCTGCTGACGTCAGTGGTCCCTTTCTACCGCGAGTGGCCCAGGATCGAAACTTTCCAGTGCGGCTTTTTCGGGTGTGTGTGTGTGGGGGGTGGGGAGAGCCCCGGGCCCGCGCTGGCGCGCCTGGAGGGCCGCGAGTTCGAGTTCCTCATGCGGCAGCCCAGCGTCACCATCGGCCGCAATTCGTCGCAGGGCTCGGTGGACCTGAGCATGGGCCTGTCCAGCTTCATCTCGCGGCGCCACCTGCAGCTCAGCTTCCAGGAGCCGCACTTCTACCTGCGCTGCCTCGGCAAGAACGGCGTCTTCGTGGACGGGGCCTTCCAGCGGCGCGGCGCGCCAGCCCTGCAGTTGCCCAAGCAGTGAGTGCCGCGGCCCCCACCCCGGGGACGGTCCTCCGTCCGACCCCTGACGGTTGCCCTTGCTCCGCCTGGGCTTGGGGTCGCCCCCCGCCCCCCATCCCCGCCCGGAGATGGACAGGAGTCACCTCCTGACCCCAGCCTGCCTTGGGCCAGGGGCAGCCCCCAGCCCCCCATCGCGGGCGGGGCCTCAGGGTCGCCCTTGCCCCCCCCAGCAGAGCGTGGGGTCTCCCCGTCTCCTCCCGATCTGGACACGGGGCCTCTCTTGACCCCTGCCCTGCCTCGGCCCAGGGCATCGAGGGTCGCCCTTGTACCCCCCCAGGCCCCGGACACCAGGGACACCCCATCCCTGCCCCTTGTCTGGACTGCGGTCGCCCTCAAACGGACTGGCTGGAAGGGTGGACTGGCTGGAAGGGTTGCGCAAGAAGGTCTGCGGGGGTCCCTGGGGCTGGGGGGGGATGCCCGGAAGGCCAGGCCCCTTTCAACAGGGATTGGGTCTGAACTTGGGCCCAGAAGGGACAGCAGGAGAGTGGGCTGGGGTGGGGACAGGAAGTGTCCGCTCCTTGGTGTATCTGAGGACGCAGGTCAGGGGTCCCCATGACTGGGGGCATCCAGGGCACAGTTGGGGCTCTTGGGCAGGAGGGCACGTCCCAGCAGGGAGGCAGGGCAAGGAGAAGGGGACCCGCCAGGCTTGGGGGACAGGTAACCGATGCCCCGTGGGACTTGAGCAACACCCTCGTGTTCCCTGGCCCTTCCGGTTCCTGGCCTGCCTGGCCGCCCTACCCGGGAGGTCCTTGGTTTCTCCCATGTGTGGATCAGGAGAAACCCCATGTAGGCAGTCAGGCCGCGTTGGGCAGTTTCTTTTTCCCTGTAGTAGTTGCTTCTCCTCACCAGTGTTATGTTTCTGCAGCATGCTTGTGTTCCAGAGTTGTCTCTGACTAATTACTCTCACTTTTCTAAGCACCCTGGGTCCACAGGATTTTTGGTGGGGTGAGTCCCAGGGCCCAAAGCCTGTTTCTATAGCCTTCTCCCCTTTCTAAGATCTCAGCACGTTTGGTTGTTAAGTATTGTACTGAGAAATTTTCAACATCAGCAAGGACTTACTGGTGTTTAGGGCCTGGGGGGTCTGGGGGTGGGGGGGCAGGTAAAGCCGTAGACAAACTTTGTTTTCCAAACATGAAAGATATGTGTTTCTGTAAAGTCAGGACTTGATGAGTAACAGAGCTGTCTTCTCCAGTGATTGCTATGCCTCTCTTGTGTCTTTTCCACAACCTACACGCTCCCCATCCAGGCCATTAAGTGCATGCTGGGGCCAGCCCCTCCCCTGGTGAGAAAGTGACAGGTAAACAGCGCCTTTCGCCTCCCTGCCCTCTGGCCCTCGGAGGTCCGGTCTGCTAGGGCTTCTTTGTATAAATTCAGGTTCTGGAAGGGCGTCTGCCCAGCAGTCTGGTTTTCAGAGCTCCCTGCCCAGCCACTGAGTGAGTTCAGCCCTGGCGAGGCGAGGCTCACCGAGTCATGAATGCACTAGTATTTTCTCTAAGTCAAGGGGAAGAAATTTCAGCTGGACGAGTCCTTGGTTCACGCGCTGAATAGGCGAATCCCGGGCCCATTGTTTGTGAAACGTGACTGGCGATCAGGCTGCCTCCCTGGCCCTCGGAGCCAGCAGCCCGGACGGCCGCCCCTCTCTGGCCGGGGCCCTGCCCACGGCTCTCATCGGGCTGTTTTCAGATTCACTGCACTGGGCTGATGGAGAACTCATGGGAACAGGATGGGCACGCTGGCAGAGAAACCCCGAGCGGACGTCCGAGTCTGCCTTCCTGGGAGAGGGCAGTTGTTTCTGAAACGTCCAGGCCTGTGGACAGACGTGTCGCCAGCCTGCGTGGCTTTACGTTCTTTTTCCTTGAGGAAGCTCGACCCGGGTGGTTGCATCCACGGGACAGAGGGGCTGTTGAAAGTCGCTCTTTCGAGTCGGGGTCGGGAGCGTCGGCTCAGCACATGGAGAGCGGTCAGGCAGCCTTACTGAGCTCGGAGGAAGGAAGTTGGACGTGCGCACTTGGGTCACCTCGCGATGGGAAGTTCACTGCTGACTTTCAAAGAACGGCAGCGGCGAAGTCTGTTTCCTCTGAGGCCTCAGTGGCCAGTGTCGCCATGAGCGCTCAAAGCCGGGATGTCTCTCCATCATGCTTTTAGGGCGTGCTTACCCGAGGGGGGCTGCATCGCCCACAGCTTGTGGTGGGAGCTGCCTGAGACCCGGGGCTCTTCTTTGTGTGGGTTGTCCCACCGGGCACCCCTGTGTGCCGCCCCGCGCGCGCGCACCCCAGCAGACACACGCACCCCTGCACACACACTGCCGCCCTGCGCGCACACACACACACACACACACACACCCTGGCACGTACACACACACCCCAGCATGCACACCCCCCCAGCACGCACACACACACACACACACACACACTCCCCCCCGGCAGACACATGCACCCCTGCACACACACCGCCCCCCCACACATGTGCCGCCCCCCTGCGCACGCACACACACGCACCCCTCACAGCTCCCCAGACTGTCCGTTCTCTCCCTCCCCCGACTCAGGGATGCTTGAGGTGGAGAGGAAACCCAGAATGTACCCATCTTTGTGACTACGAGTAGGTTTTTCCAAAACTGAAATGAAACACTTTTGAAATTACTGGCAGGAGAAAAAAAAAATGCTCGTGACACCATTGGGGGCCGACCCCACTGGGTGACCATGTGAACTGTGGGGGGGTGTGGCACAGATGGTCCTGCCATGGCCCCTCCTCTGTGGGTCTCCGGGGGCCCCCAGGTCCCCAGGCCTGGGCTGGGTGCCCGTCAGCTTTACGTGGGGACGGGCCCGCCAGCGGTCGGTGTGTAAAAGCACAGTGTTTACACGTGTGTTTGTCGATGAGAAATCAGTGACTGAATCTGCAGCTCCCCCCGGGGGAGAAGAGGGTCCCCAAGACTCCGGGTTTCGAGGCGGGTGGTCGGCGGGCCTCTCCTGGGCCTGCGAGTGGACGCGCTTTGTGTGTGTGGCTGGAGGTCATCAGGCCAACAGATCTGGAGTTTGAATTGGATGGAACCTGTGAGCTAACGGAGGGGGACCCCATATGGCCTTGGGCTTGCTCTCTCGTCTCCCTGTTCCAACCGTCTTTCCCAAAAGTGTCATAAAATAAGCATGTGAACATGCGGATATGAGTTTTCACAGTAAAAGCGAGACTTCATTTGTGGCGGCTTCCATGGGTGGTGACATTGATGGGATTCGTTTTACTTTTCTGTGTGTCCCAAGTTTTCTGTGATGAGCATAGCTTTTTTTTTTTCTTTTGAAGAGTTTTCATTGCAGAAAGTTTCAAGCGTAGAGACGGAGTGGTTCCCCATGCCCATCGCCCAGCCCCCACGGCTGCCACGCTGTGGCCAAGCTCGTTTTATCTGCATCCCCACCCATCTCCCTCCCACCCACCCCCGCCACAAGTAGCAAGTGTCTCAACACTCCGTCTGTAAATATTTCAACAAAAGATAAAGATTCCTTTTTCAAAAAACCTAACCACAGTGTCATTATCACACGTAAAAAATTAATAACAATCTCTTTACTATCATCAGACTTCCAATGAGTGTTTGGATTTCCCTTCCCGTGGCGTGAATTGTTTTTTTTTTTCCTTCTCTTTTCTCACAGCGTGTTCATTCGAATCAGGAACCAAATCAGGTCCAGACGCTGTGATTGGCTGGCGTGTCTCTCACATCTCTTTCAAACTGCAGGCTCCGTCTCATTCCCGCTCCCCCCTCCCTCTCTTTTGTCCATGATGAAGAAACAGGGTCATTTGTCCCGTACACTTTCCCACGGTCTCTCTCCCCAGATTGGATTCCCGTGCTGTCCACTGACCGTGCCCTCTCCCCTGGCGTTCTGTAAATTGGTTGTCGGACCGGGGGGTTTGGTCAGGCTCAGGTCCGATGTTTTTTTTTTTTTTGGCCAAGCCTGCCCTGTGGGCAGAGGCCGGGCAGGAAGCAGGCACGTGCCTGTCCGCCATGGAGCACTTCTGATGGGCGCTGCCCACGTCCCTCAGCCTGTTGTCCCCGTCCCCTGTTCTCCCGTCGTTGACGGTGGCCGCCAGCATGTGTCTGGGTCTGTGCTGATGCAGTCCACCCTCCGAGAGGCGTGTCGTGAACGGAGATGTTACGGATCATGGTCTCCACAGGCATCCCGTGATAAAAAGTAATTAATTGTAACCACCAAAGCATTTTACTACATAAATAATTTTTCAGGTGCTATGAAAACATACAGGCTTCCCAGCTGGCGCCTGTGGTAAGGAACCCGCCTGCTGATGCAGGAGACACAAGAGACACAGGTTCCATCCCAGGGTCGGAAGGGTCCCCTGGAGAAGGAAACGGCAACCCGCTCCAGTATGCTTGCCTGGAAAATCCCATGAAGAGAGGAACCTGGTGGGCTGCCGTCCATGGGGTCACGGAGAGTCAGACACGGCTGAGCTTGCCCACTGTGAACCCGTTCAGGACATACTTGCTCAGTGCTGTTCCAGCCGGTCACTGGGAGAATATTGAATTCGTTACTAACCATCTTATGGTAGTCACCAGGTTGAAATTATATTGAAATTAACGGGGGAACTCCCTAGACTTGGTGAGGACCGCAGGTGCGGGTAGAAGGCCTCAGGGCCCAGCATCCGAGGGAGGGCAGCTGGCTCCTGTCCCAGCCCACCGGGAGCCGCGGGGGCCCCCCAGACACGGTCCCTCCGTCCTGGGCGGCGGGGCAGGAGCAGGCCTACATGCGGAGCTGGGGGCGCCTTTGGGGCAGGGAGGGCATCAGGTCCCAGGGGTGAAGAGGTGAGACTTGACGGTGCTGGCTGTGTTTCCACGCAGAGAGGAGAGCGGTGGGCAGGGAGCAGGGCCATGTGCGGCTGTGTGTGGAGCCGGGGGGCCCACAGAGCCCCATGGACACGGTCATCAGGCCCGAACCCCAAAGACTGGGGCCGGGGGGCCGGGG